GGCGTGAGCCACCACACTTGGCCTACAGTGTTTCTTTCTTTCTTTTTTTTTTCTCTCTAGCTCCTCCAAAGTAGAATTTTTTTTTTTTTTTTTTTTTGAGATGGCGTCTCGCCTCTATTGCCGGGCTGGAGTACAGTGGCGCAATCCCGGCTCACTGCAACTTCCGTTTTCCAGTTTCAAGTAATTCTCCTGCCTCAGCCTCCCGAGTAGCTGGGACTACAGGCACGCACCACCACACCTGGCTCATTTTCTTTGTATTTTTAGTGGAGATGGGGTTTCACCTTGGCCAGGATGGTCTCGATCTCTTGACCTCGTGATCCACCTGCCTCGGCCTCCCAAAGTGTTGGGATTACAGGTGTGAGTCACCACACCTGGCCTTTTTCTTTTTTTTTTGAGACAGAGTCTTGCTCTGTCGCCAGGCTGGAGTGCAGTGGCTTGATCACGGCTCACTGCAACCTCCGTATCACAGGTTCAAGCAATTCCCGTCTCAACCTCCTGAGTAGCTGGAACTACAGGTGTGCACCACCACATCTGTCTAATTTTTTGTATTTTAGTAGAAACAAGGTTTCACCATGGCCAGAATGGTCTCGATCCCCTGACCTCATGATCCGTCCACCTCAGCGGCCTCCCAAAGTGCTGGGATTACAGGCATGAGCCACCGCACCCAGCCCAGTGTTTCTTATACATGAGGTTTCCTGATATTGTTTCCAACTGTTTCAGACATGCAACATCAACAACACATTCATGAAAATACTCTTATGAAAGTCTTGGCCAGGCACGGTGGCTCACACCTGTAATCCCAGCAGTTTGGGAGGCCGAGGCGGTGGACTGCTTGAGTCCAGGAGTTTGATACCAGCCTAGGCAACATGGTGAAACTCCATCTCTACAAAAATACAAAAATTAGCCAGGTGCAGTGGTGTGTGCCTGTCTTCCCAGCTGCTCAGGAGGATGAGGCGGGAGGATTGATTCAGCCCAAGAGGCAAAGGTTGCAGTGAGCCAAAATCAGAGCCACTGCACTTCACCCTAGGTGACAGAGGGAGACCCCATGTCAAAAATCAACAAATAGGCTGTGTGCAGTGGTTCACATCTATAATACCAGCACTTTGGGAGGCCAAGTTGGGCGGATTACGAGGTCAGGAGTTTGACACCAGCCTGACCAGCATGGTGAAACCTCATCTCTACTAAAAATGCAAAAATATTAGCCAGGCCAGGTAGTACGTACCTGTAGCCCCAGCTACTCAGGAGGCTGAGGCAAGAGAATCACCTGAATCCAGGAGGCGGAGGTTGCAGTGTGCCAAGATTGCGCCACTGCACTCCATTCAGCCTGGGCAACAGAGTAAGACTCTGTCTCAATCAATCAATCAATCAATCAGCAAGCAAGCTGGGCACGGTGGCTCACACTTGTAATCCCAGCACTTTGGGAGGCCAAGGCAGGCACATCAGGAGGTGAGGAGATCGAGATCATCCTGGCCAACATGAGGAAACCCCATCTATACTAAAATACAAAAAATTAGCCAGGCATGGTGGCATGCACCTTTAGTCTCAGCTACTTGGGAGGCTGAGGCAGGGGAGTCGCTTGAACCCAAGAGGCAAAGGTTGCAGTGAGCCGAGATCACGCCACTGCATTCTAGCCTGGCGACAGAGCAAGACTCTGTCTCGAAATAATTAATTAATTTAAAGTAATTATCAAAATATATTTTTAAAAAGAGGAAGTAAAAAGAAAAAAGCGTCTGAGAGTGTAGAACTCTGTAGCTGTTTACACTTTTCTGTTAATTGCACGTTGGTCTGACGCTCTGTGGAGAGGCCCCTCCCTCTGGCTGAGTGTCACTCACCTCAGATGCCTCTCTGGGATTTGGTGCTGATCTCCAATGTTATCAAATCTCCAATTTTGTCCAAAAATAGACCAGGAATCACTTCTTGTAAATTTTGCAATTTCCTCCTCATTGGATATTTCATTCCCGAAAACATCTCTCTGAGAACTTGATCCACTGCTTCTAACATAAGTGCAACTATCTGGAACAATCAATTACACACAATTTCTTAGAGGAAAATATGTTGACATAAAGGAAAGAAACTAGATCACATATGGATTTCTTTTCATATACTAATCCAAAATGAAACCACAGTTTATGATTAGGAAGAACAGACATGCTATCAAAGTGAGACTCTGAGGTCCTCGACTGTTTGGGAATTTGGCAATAATAAAAAACAGGCGAGCCGGGCGCGGTGGCTCAAGCCTGTAATCCCAGCCCTTTGGGAGGCCGAGGCAGGTGGATCACGAGGTCAAGAGATCGAGACCATCCTGGTCAAAATGGTGAAGCCCCGTCTCTACTAAAAATACAAAAAATTAGCTGGGCATGGTGGCGCGTGCCTGTAATCCCAGCTACTCAGGAGGCTGAGGCAGGAGAATTGCCTGAACCCGGGAGGCGGAGGTTGCGGTGAGCCGAGATCGCGCCATTGCACTCCAGCCTGGGTAACAAGAGCGAAACTCCGTCTCAAAAAAAAAAAAAAAAAAAGAAAAACAAGGAGGCCTCATCTCCAAACAATAACAAGAAAAAATTGACATTAGCCAGGTGTAGTGGTGTGCCTGTAATCCCAGATCCTCGGGAGGCCAAGAAGGGAGGATCGCTTGAGCCCAGGAGGTCAAAGCTGCGGGGGGCCGTGATCGCACCACTACACTCCAGCCTGTGTGACAGAGCCAGAGCCTGTCTCAGAAAAAGAAGAATAGGGCCAGGCATGGTGGCTCATGCCTGTAATCCCAGGACTTTGGGAGGCCGAGCAGGGTGGATCACCTGAAGTCAGGAATTTAAAACCAGTCTGACAAACATGGTGAAACTCCATCTCTGCTAAAAATACGAAAAAAATTAGCAGGGCATGGTGGCACATGCCTGTTACCCCAGCTACTTGGGAGGCTGAGGCAGGAGAATTGCTTGAACCGGGGAGGAAGAGGCTGCAGTGAGCCAAGACTGGGCCATTGCACTCCAGCCTGGGTGACAGAGCAAGACCCTGTCCCAAAAAAAGAAGACTAGGTGAACACACAGCCTGTTTACTAAGAAATAGAACAGTTCCAAGTCTGGTGGCAGTGGTTCATGCCTGTAATCCAAGCACTTTGGGAGGCCAAGGCGGGAGGATCACAAGGTCAGGAGTTGGAGACCAGTCTGGCCAACATGGTGAAACCCTGTCTCTACTAAAAACACAAAAAATTAGCCGGGTATGGTGGTGGACATCTGTAATTGCAGCTACTCAGGAGGCTGAGACAGAAGAATGGCGTGAACCCAGGAGGCGGAGGTTGCAGTGAGCTGAGATCGCACCATTGAACTCCAGCCCGGGCAACAGGGCGAGACTCCATCTCAAAAACAACAACAAAAAAATGAATAGAACAGTTCCAAACTGATGGAGACTGATGTTAAGTAAAATATTATCAGAAAAGCAAAGTACGAAGTTGGTGGGGAAAACGCACGTGCGCAAATGCTCCTTTTACACGCGCACACGCAGAGGCTTTCCCCGGGGAAGGACGGCAGGAAAAGCCACACAGGGCAGCTGAGAGAGGACACAGCTCCTCCTCCTCGGAGAAGGGCTTGTGTTTCTAACGCACACTGCCAAACAGTGGCTCTTAGCCACTCCTCCCGAGGGCTGCTGCTCTCCTGGTGCTCACTGGCACAGGGGCTGACCGGAGTCCGTCCTGCACGGTGCCCGGCTGCCCTCAGGCATGAGCACCGCCCACTCCGGAGAATCACATGATGAGGGAGGACTGTGAAGGGCATCATATGTTTCCCCGACATAGGCCAACACCTCGGCCTCCCAGACCAGCAGTGATGACTGCGTGTGAGTTTTTTTTTTTTTGAGACGGAGTTTCGCTCTTGTTGCCCAGGCTGGAGTGCAATGGCGCGATCTCGGCTCACCGCAAC